AGTCCCTCCTGTTTTTTCCCCATCGTGGTTGAGTCCTGCTAGATAAGGAGGCTCTCCTTGAGAGCAGCCCCTGATTTCGACCTGATAAGGGATCCCAACCTTTGCCCCAAAGGGAATGGCTCAGGTGCGCAGCATGCGTCTTCCTCTCGGCCAGCGGCATGTGCCGCCCCAAACCAGGACTCAACCAAGAGGCCAAGATAAGAGGATTTTGCAAAGAACTTAAAGGGCTGTGATTAACCAAATCTTGAGTCTTAATTCCTGGATTAAGGAGCATCCTACCTTTGGATAACTCCGAGATGTCCAGCAGGGTGAGAGCAGCGGAGAATGAAAGTGATTGTGCAGAGAGGAGTCCTTTGGTTGTTTTTCACTGAGGACATGGGTTGTGTGTTCTGTTTTTCGGTTTGGGAATCGCAAGGTCTGTTGAAATATTCAAAGTTGGTGATCTAGGCATGCATGGCTGCTGAGCCACAGGCCATGAGCTAGCCAGTTCCTTGTGAGTTTTCAGAAAAGGAAGAATAGGGCAAATGGGGACAAAATTGGATATTGGTCACAGGCCAATATCTGATATCCCTAGGGAGGGCGTTCCACAACCAAGGGGCCACCGCTGAGAAGGCCCTGTCTCTCGTTCCCGCCAGTCACATCTGCGAAGGAGGCAGGAATGAGAGCAGGGCCTCCCCAGACGATCTTAAAGACCTAGCTGATTCATAGGAGGAGATGCGTTCGGACAGGTAAGCCAGGCCAGAACCATTTAGGGCTTTAAAGGCCAAAGCCAGCACTTTGAATTGTGCCCGGTAGCAAACTGCCAGCCAGTGGAGTTGGCGCAGCAGAGGGGTTGTATGCTCCCTGAGCGCCGCTCCTGTTAACAACTTGGCTGCCGCGCCTTGGAGCATGTGAAGCTTCCGAATAGTCTTCAAGGGCAACTCCATGTAGAGTGTGTTGCAGTAGTCAATACGGGATGTAACCAGAGCATGGACTACCGTGGCCAAGTCAGACTTCCCAAGGTACGGGCACAGCTAGCACACAAGTTTTAATTGTGCAAATGCTCCCCTGGTCACCACCGAAACCTGGGGTTCCAGGCTCAGTGATGTGTCCAGGATCACACCCATCTAACAAAGGCTGTAACCTTATGCCCTGTTCGGCCTTACGACTTACCAAGAGTACCTCTGTCTGGACTTGATTCAGTTTCAATTTGTTTGCCCTCATCCAGACCGTCACAGCAGCCAAGCACTGGTTCAGAACCTGAACAGCCTCAAGATGTTTGGCCTTCAACTCCCAGAAATCCTAACACTGGTAAACTGGCTGGGGTTTCTGGGAGTTGTAGGCCAAAACACCTGGGGACCTACAGGTTGAGAACCACTGATCTAGATCTATATAGTGGCCTTAGGAGGCCCTCAAAGACCATCTAGATCTATATAGTGGCCTTAGGAGACCCTCAACGACCATCTAGAACAGTGGTTCTCAACCTGTGGGTCCCCAGATGTTTTGGCCTTCAACTCCCAGAAATCCTAACAGCTGGTAAACTGGCTGGGGTTTCTGGGAGTTGTAGACCAAAACACCTGGGGACCTACAGGTTGAGAACCACTGATCTAGATCTATATAGTGGCCTTAGGAGGCCCTCAAAGACCATCTATATCTATATAGTGGCCTTAGGAGACCCTCAACGACCGTCTAGAACAGTGGTTCTCAACCTGTGGGTCCCCAGATGTTTTGACCTTCAACTCACAGGAATCCTAACAGCTGGTAAACTGGCTGGGGTTTCTGGGAGTTGTAGGCCAAAACACCTGGGGACCCACAGGTGGAGAACCACTGATCTAGATCTTTATAGTGGCCTTAGGAGGCCCTCAAAGACCATCTAGATCTATTTAGTGACCTTAGGAGACCCTCAACGACCATCTAGAACAGTGGTTCTCAACCTGTGGGTCCCCAGATGTTTTGACCTTCAACTCACAGGAATCCTAACAGCTGGTAAACTGGCTGGGGTTTCCGGGAGTTGTAGGCCAACTCCCAGAAACCCACAGGTTGAGAACCACTGCTCTAGGGAGCTGACACCTTGTCCATATCCTTTTTCAATGGCTTTGCTCAGAACTGGACACAGGGTTATTCTGGGTGAAGTCCGATCAAAGTGAAACAGAACATCACTTCCCTCAGTCTGAACTAGATGTTAACACAGCCCAGAATTGCCTTGGCTTTTTTGGTGGTTGCACCACACCATTCCCTCTTGTTTACCTCTCCATGTCTTTTCCACGCCAGGTATTCCTCATCCTTTGTTTGTGCATTTCATTGTTTCCTCCCTGCTTTGCATGTCTTCCCGTTGAAACTCTGCATTCCAATCCGTTAAGGTGATTTTGCGCCCTAATCCTGGCGCCCAGAGTATCAGTTCCTCCTCCTCCTAATTTGGCGTCACCTGCACATTTGATATGCACGGATAAGAACAGGAGAAACTCATTACTGGCTCCAGAGGCTGATCTCCTTACATGCCCTGAGAGTCGGAACCAGATCTTGGAGGAACGTGGCAGAAAGTGGCAAAGGAGCCAAGACGGGAGGCTGAGTGTTGCCTTGGCCTCTGTGCGCCCTGGGCTGCCTGGTCGCCTGTCCCTGAAGGAAGGATGCTCTTACAGACTTCTATAGCTGGAAGGGCTCCCCTAAGGCCATCTAGTCCAACCCCATTCTGCCATGCACACAACCAAAGTACCTCTGACAGGTTGCCACCCATCTTCTTAGGTTGGACCTTTGATCTCGTTCAGATCAGTAACCAGTTGGGGCCATGGTTTCATTCAAATGCACAAACAAGGAAAATAAAGCCATGTTCTAGAGGCATTCTCTCCTGACGTTTCGCCTGCATCTATGGCAAGCATCCTCAGAGGTAGTGAGGTCTGTTGGAACTAGGAAAGAGGGTTTATATATCTGTGGAATGACCAGGGTGGGACAAAACAGACCTCACTACCTCTGAGGATGCTTGCCATAGATGCAGGCGAAACGTCAGGAGAGAATGCCTCTAGAACATGGCCATATAGCTCGAAAAAACCTACAACAACTCAGTGATTCCGGCCATGAAAGCCTTCGACAATACAAGGAAAATAAACATATATGAGTCAAAAACAACAACACTTACACCCTTTGACTGTCACTTTATTTCTACCCTTCTACTTTTAACTAGCCGTCCCCTGCCATGCGTTGCTGTGGCCCTGTTGGTGTATATGTGTTGTATGCGTGTATATGTGTGTGTATATGTGTATGTTTGTTTTTTAACATTTTATCCTGCACATGTGGCCAGCCCACTGTCACTGTGATGCTGTTTATTGTAATGTTATATTGTTATTTATTTGTCGTGTCAGGGCAACCAGTCAATTGTATTACAATTCTAACAGAACAAAACAAACAGACAAAATACAAAGTTTGCAAGTTTGGTAGTTGATTAAATGTCCTTTCACCAGTATCTGGCCACTTGGAGTGCTTCTGGTGTTGCCACAAGAAGGTCCTCCATTGTGCCTGTGGCAGGGCTCAGGGTGCATTGCAGCAGGTGGTCTGTAGTTTGCTTTTCTCCACACTCGCATGATGTGGATTCCACTTTGTGGCCCCATTTCTGAAGGTTGGCTCTGCATCTCGTGGTTCCAGAGCGCAGTCTGTTCAGCGCCTTCCAAGTTGCCCAGTCTTCTGTGTGCCCAGGTGTCTCTCATTTGGTATCAGCCATTGGTTGAGGTTCTGGGTTTGAGCCTGCCACTTTTGGAATCTCGCTTGCTGAGGTGTTCCAGCGAGTGTCTCTGTAGATCTAAGAAAACTATTTCTAGATTTAAGTTGTTGACGTGCTGGCTGATACCCAAACAGGGGATGAGCTGGAGATATCTCTGCCTTGGTCCTTTCATTATTGGCTGCTACTGGGGACATTAGAGAAGCCTCCTCGCAGGATTGTAAGACATCCGGGCGTCCCTGGGCAACGTCTTCGTAGACAGCTGTTTCTCTCGCTCCAGAGGCAACCAGAAGCGACTTGCAGCATGTTATATTGTTAATGTATTCATATGTTTTTATGTAATTATGATGTTGTTGCTTGTTGCTTCTGTTTTGGTTTTATTTTGCTGTAATATGTTGTCTGGGCTTGGCCTCATGTAAGCCGCGCCGAGTCCCCGTTGGGGAGATGGTGGCGGGGTATAAATAAAGATTATTATTGACACAAAAGCACAGTATGTCACAGCAAATGAGATCTATATGCTGGATTTCGTATCACAAAATCACAAGTCGAACCCTTCCCAAGCGTCTAGGACTGTGTGATGTATTTTCAAATGATGTGCGCAGATCCAAGTCAGGTGGCCTTTTGCAGTTGACAGATCGTGATTTTGTCAATGTTTATTGTTTCCAAATGCTGGCTGAGATCTTTTGGCACAGCACCCAGTGCGCCAATGACCACTGGGACCCACCTGTGCTGGTTGATGCTAGAGCCTTTGCCGTTCGATTTTGAAGTCTTGATAGCGGCTGAGTTTTTCCTGTTGTTTTTCCTCAATGTGACTGTCTTCTGGAATGGCGACACCCATAATCCAGACTTTTTTCTTTTCCACAATCATGATGTCTGGTATATTGTGTTCCAAAACTTTGTCAATATGGATTCGAAAGTCCCACAGTATTTTTGCGTGTTCATTTTCCGTGACCTTTGCAGGTTTATGATCCCACCAATTCTTTGCTGCTGGTAGGTGGTCCTTGTGGCATAAGTTCCAGTGAATCATCTGGGCCACAAAGTTGTGTCTTTGTTTGTAGTCAGTTTGTGTGATTTTCTTGCAACAGCTGAGGAGATGGTCCATGGTTTCATCAGCTTCCTTGCACAGTCTGCATTTGGGTCATCTGCTGATTTTTCAATCCTGACCTTAATTGCATTGGTTCTGATGGCTTGCTCCTGGGCTGCAAGAATCAGGCCTTCTTCTGTCTCCTTCAGGGTTCCATTCATGAGCCATCACCAGGTATTATTATTATTATTATTATTATTAACTACTCTCATTTCCTTTCCCTCACAGATGCCACCGACTTCAGGACTCCCTGCTCAGCTCGGCCAGTGGCTACAGCAACTACCGGGGCATCTTGAACTGGTGCGTCGTCATGCTGGTGAGTGGCCAGAGCAGACCCCCCTCTTTTCCTTCTCTGTTGGCTTCCAGGTCTTGAATGAGAGATTGGGAAGCAACACTGTCCTTTTTTTGAGCTCTGAAGTTGGAAACCCCTTTCTGTTATGATTGCAGAATCTTAGTAGCAGTTAAATTCAGTCACAAGGAAATCTTGGAAATGTATGTATTTATTAATTTATTTATGCCATTTCTATCCCACCCATATCAGCCCGAAGGCGACTCAGGTTACTACTATACAGCAAAGTAACAAATGAAGAAAAATAAGGCAGGGTTGTTGTGTGTGTGTTTTTGGGCTGTCTGGCCATGTTCCAGAAGCGTTCTGAAACATGGAGATTCCATCTGAACATGAGGAAGAACTTACTGACTGTGAGAGCTGTTCAGCAGTGGAACTCTCTGCCCTGGAGTGTGGTGGAGGCTCCTTCTTTGGAGGTTTTTAAACAGAGGCTAGATGGCCATCTGCCAGGGGTGCTTTGAATGCAATATTCCTGCCTCTTGGCAGGGGGTTGGACTGGATGGCCCATGAGGTCTCTTCCAACTCTAGGATTCTATGATTCTCTCCTGACGTTTTGCCTCCATCAATGGCAGACATCCTCAGAGGGTGTGAGGTCTGTTGGAAAGTAGGAAAAAGGGGTTTATATATCTGTGGAATGTCTAGGGTGGGAGAAAGAACTATTGTCTGTTTAAGGTAGGGGTGAATGTAGCACGTTATCAGTTTCAATCCCCCCCCCCCCCCCCCAGTTTCCGAAAGTTGCTCCGTCCAGCCTCCAAGTCTTCCAGTCTGAACTGGTTCATATTATCAGGCTCCCACCCACGCAGGGCCCCAGATGTTTTCATGATGTTTTCATTCCTCAACCTTGGCTGTGAACTCATGGCATGGAGGTGTTCTGCTGTCTTGAACACATGCAATAGGAGTCCGTGGCACTTTTTCCTTCTGTCTTCTGGCTGGAGAAGGAGTTGTTCCGCAGCCCGCCAGATGATGCTCCATCGTTGCGGATGAGAGCACTTGGAGGGCACAGAGAGACGATTGACGTATTAATGGCCTGGCCGCCTGGCCTCTTGGCCCGCAATGAATGGATGTTTGTGCAACTCCATCTGCAAGGGAGGATGCTGTGGTTTGCATCTGTCAGGCCTGGCGTTGTGCCTGGCGTTGTGCCGGGAGTGTGGATTCTGCACCAGTGACCCCTTGCCTGTCGAGGGTTTGGTGGCCTCTGGATGTTAAGCCCTGCATTGATTTGGGGTCAGTGGACTTAAGGGGTAGATTACAGATATAGACTGAGAGAAGGGTGTTGACAAGCTGGAAAGTCTCCAAAGAAGGGTGATCAAAATGATCAGATCTAGAAACTATGAATTGCTTTGAGGAGCAGCTGAAGGAGCTGGGGGTGTTTCACTTGGAGAAAAGAAGGGGAGATGAGAGCCATGTTTACATATTTGAAAGGGTGCCCCATTGAGGAGAAGGGGGCAAGGCTTGTTTTCTTCTGCTCCAGAAACTAGGACATAACAGAGCCAAGGATTCAAGGTGGAAGAAAAGAGATTCTACCAAAACATTAGGAAGAACTTCCTGAGAGTAAGAGCTGTTGGACCATAAAATATGATGTATCACCAGAGTCCAGGGGTGAGAGAGTTTCCTTCTCTGGAAGTTTTGAAACAGACACTTCTCTTTTGGGAAGGCTCAGACCGTATCTGTTGCACTCCAGTACAGGAAAAGCCCTCTGACTTTAAACACCACACTGTTGGCTGGGAAACAATCCTTTTATTTAAGATAATTATAAAGCAGTAAAGTAAAAAAACACTTTAAAGAAATAGGTAAATCCAATTAGGTAGGAAGATAAGCATGAGCAAAGTAGTCCAGAGTAATAGTCCAGCAAAGTCCATAAAAACAAAGTCAAACCTTCCCAAATAAAATGCAAGAAATCAGGAAACATGAATCCAAGGCATGAATATAAAAGCATAGAATCCGAGAATCAAAACCATGAAAGAAAGGCACTTAAAATATGAATTTTCCAAGGATGAGATCTTGACTTGATTCCAAACGATGCTTCATCTGACTACATATCCTGTACTTGAGAGTTTTATCTCCTCGTTAGCTGGGTCTCTAGCGCTCAGAAATTGGTTCTGCTTTAACTGAGAATTTCTTTTTCTCTTGGAGCCTGGCAGAACGTCGAAGCCACTGTTCAGTCTCCTGTTTTGACTGGTTTCATTATCTATTTGCTCATTAATTTCTGCAGCTGGGCCAGGTGCTGAGCTGTTTTCATGTTCTCTATAATGGGAACTCTCTGGTAACAATTCAGAAAGCACACCGTTATCCCCACACCCCTCATGGACATTCTCATGGGAAACTACACTTTGAACAGGGATCTCTTAGCCATTCACTGCATCAATATCATTGACTAGAGCCAGGGGTAGGGAACCTTTGGCCCTCCAGCTGTGGTGGACTTCAACTCCCACAATTCCTTGAGGCTCAGCATTGGGCCAAGGTAAGCCTTTGGGGCGAATGCCGAGCCTCAAGGAATTGTGGGAGTTGAAGTCCACCACAGCTGGAGGGCCAAAGGTTCCCTACTCCTGGACTAGACCATTGCCTTCTTGAAACTCATTGTCATCACTCCCCACATCTAAAGCACCCTGGTCCTTAAACACAATCACAGGCTGAGTTCCAACAACAAGAGCATGAAAATAGCCCCAACCTTCTCAACCTGCATTCTCTGGAGCAGTGGTTCTCAACCTGGGGTCCCCAGATGTTTTTGGCCTGCAACTCCCAGAAATCCCAGCCAGTTTACCAGCTGTTAGGATTTCTGGGAGTTGAAGGCTAAAAACATCTGGGGACCCCAGGTTGAGAATTACTGCTCTGGAGGGATCCTTGACATCATTTCCATTCTCAAGAGTTTCTTGAGAATGGTCTAATGCAGTGGTTCTCAACCTGGGGTCCCCAGATGTTTTTGGACTTTAACTCCCAGAAATCCTAACAGCTGGTAAACTGGCTGAGATTTCTGGGAGCTGTAAGCCAAAAGCATCTAGGGACCCCAGGTTGAGAACCACTGGTCTAATGGAACTTTTTGCAGAACCCTACTTGAAAAACACTGTTCTCAGGTACACTGTCTTCATCTGGAAGCCTCACAGTTTTAAGTCTCTAAGCCAATGGGTGTTTATATGCATTTTTTTAAAAAAAATTGCTCATTTTTCAGGGACAGAGGATAGGCAAGTGTTGGCTCCTTCCCCTCCAGCTCCCTGTGGACAAGATCCTGTGCCAAAGCGAGAGAGAGCGGTCAGCCAGGCTGCCCAGAGAAGGCGGCATTTGGCTGGTCCTGCGGCCGGAGCCTTAATTGGATTAGTTTGTGAAAGTGAGCAGCCTGACCGCCCAGGGTCCATTAGCCAGCAGGCCTTAATTGGAGCCACATTCTTCATGTGTGACACCCAGCAGGGCCCCGTTGCCTGCCTGGCACACTCACGGAGAAGAAGGCTGCAGGAAAAGGGAGAAGAATATCCTCACATTTTCTTGCCAGTGACAAAAAAGGCTTGCCCTGATTTCAGAAAATCTTAGACTCCTAGAGGTGGAAGGGTCTTGGAGGATCTGTGTGGATTTGGCAGAATTATAGAGTTGAAAGAGACTGCATGGGCCATGAGGATGGAGAAGGCATGGAGCTTGAAGGGAAGAAGGCCGGGCCAAAGATCACCGGAGCAAAGGGCAAGGAGGCCAGAAGTGCCAGTTGGTTGCCTCATCTGCCGCTTCCTTCCCCTTTACTCCTGTAACCTTTGGCTCCGCTTTCTCTGCTAGCTGCATATTGTGAAAGAGGAGGCAGATTGCTCTCCCATCACAAGCCCATGCCTTGTTGCATCATCAGGAGCTGTCAGACCAGAGTTCTCCCCTCAGGGCCTTCAGAGATTGTCCTTCTTGGCCAAGGCAAAGCCCAGACCCGCAGTCAATCGTATGGCTTTTGCTCAGAGGCAGGACAAGCAAAGAAGGGGAGGCAGAGGAAAGCAAGGGAAAAAACTCATTCCAAGGCAGCACCCGAGAGAAGCAATGGTTTTCTGAATTCAAACTGCACACTTGCAAGGATTTTCCCTGCGAATGCAAGACATATTGGAAATTTGGCCGTGTAGTGGACTGAGTGTAGATTCTTCCTAGAAAGGAAATAGGACTGTTTTTCTCTCTCTTTCTATATATAGAGTATTTTATTTGTCGTGTCAGGACAACCAGCCAAATTATATTACATTTCTAACAGAGCAAAGCAAACAAACAGACAAAATACAAAATCTGCGAGCTTGGTAGTTGATTAAATGTCCTTTGACCAGTATCTGGCCACTTGGGGTGCCTCTGGTGTGGCTGCAAGGAGATCCTCCCTTGTGCATGTGGCAGGGCTCAGGTTGCATTGCAGCAGGCGGTCAGTGGTTGGCTCTCCTCCCTGCAATCGCATGTCGAGGATTCCACTTTGTGGCCCCATTTGTTGAGGTTGGCTCTGCATCTCGTGGTGCCAGAGCGCAGTCTGTTCAGCGCCTTCCAAGTCGCCCAGTCCTCTGTGTGCCCAGGGGGGAGTCTCTCATTTGGTATCAGCCATTGGTTGAGGTGCTGGGTTTGAGCCTGCCACTTTTGGACTCTCGCTTGCTGAGTGTTCCAGCGAGTGTCTCTGTAGAGCTTTGAAAACTATTTCTTGATTTACGTCATTGACGTGCTGGCTGATACCCAAACAGGGGATGAGCTGGAGATGTCTCTGCCTTGGTCCTTTCACTACTGCTTGCTACTTCCCGGAGGATGTCAGGTGGTGCAATACCGGCTAAGCAGTGTAATTTCTCCAGTGGTGTAGGGCGCAGACACCCCGTGATAATGCCCCATGTATGGGGCTATGCCCAAGAGGACAAAAATGGAGAGGCTGTCCTCTCCTGGTCTCAACTGCACAAACTATCACTCATCCATGATAGCAAGCTCCCACCATCCTACAATAGCGGGAGATGGCACCGAGGTTATAACCCAGACCTCCTATTTGTGAGCGACAGCATCGTACAGCAATATATATAGAGTGTGTATGTGTGTCAAAATACTCTCCTCTGCGGTTCATAACATGTGTATACCAATAATAATAATAATAATAATAATAATAATAATAATAATAATAATAATTATATAAATAAAAATATAATGTTCGTTTGTGAGATTAACATAACTCAAAAACCATTGGACGAATTGACACCAAATTTGGACACAAGACACCTAACAACCCAATGTATGTCCTTCACTCAAAAAAATGGATTTTGTCATTTGGGAGTTGTAGTTGCTGGGATTTATAGTACACCTACAATCAAAGAGCACTATGAACTCCACCAATGATGGAATTGAACCAAATGTGGCACACTGGACTCCTATGACCAACAGAAAACACAAGGGTTTGGTGGGCATTGACCTTGAGTTTGGGAGTTGTAGTTCATCTACATCCAGAGAGCACTGTGGACTCAAACAATGAAGGATGTGGACCAAACTTGGCACAAATACTCCATATGCCCAAATATGAACACAGATGGAGTTTGGGGGAAATAGACCTTGACCTTTGGGAGTTGTAGTTGTTGGGATTTATAGTTCACCTGCAATCACAGAGCATTCTGAACCCCACCAACGACAGAATTGGGGCAAACTTCCCACACAGAACCCCCATGACCAACGGAAAATACTTAAGGCCATCCAGTCAAACTCCCTTCACTGGGGCAAGAAAACGTAATCAAAGCCCTCCTGACAAAGAGCCATCCAGCCATAGATATAGATTGATATATATGATTCACAGACACACATGTCCCCTCTATCAGATCTAGCTCCTCATGCGGGGACATGAGAGAAGCCTCCCACAAGCATGGTAAAACATCAAAACATCCGGGCGTCCCCTGGGCAACGTCCTTGCATATGGCCAATTCTCTCACACCAGAAGCAACTTGCAGTTTCTCAAGTCGCTCCTGACACGATCAAAAAAAAAAAAAATCCAAACCAAGAGACATTGATGTGAGGAAGTCCAACCTCACATCATTGGACTTCCACCTCTTTCCAACCAGGAAGTTATTTTTAAAGGACAAGCATTTCTCAGGTGATGAGACCCTGATTTGTGGCTTTTGGAGCAACCTGTCGACTTCTAAGAGTCAGGTGTTGACAGTTGCTTAAAAAGAGAGGAGAAGTGTGCGTGCTGATGTGGCACCGATGGAGAGAAGGACTCCGAACTGGGCCAAGTTGCATTGCTCTCCGTCCACAGGAAATGGGTCCGGGGAAATCTTTCATGAATGCCTCTCATATACCTTTATACCTGGGGTCGTGTAGAATATCTCCAGTGGAAAGGGGTCAGAAGTGGGCAAACTATAAAAAACCCTGCTCATGCATTCAAGTGGCAGGAAAAGGAATCCCAGCTGAACTTTAGGACGATTAGCAGTGGAACATGTTTCTTTCAGAGACCATTAGACTCTCTTTTTCTGGAGGTTTTGAAGCAGAGGCTTGATGGGCATCTGTCGGGAGGGCTTTCATTGCATGGCAGAAGAAGGTTCATCTGAAAGGCCTTTGGGGTCCCTTCCAATGTTGTATTTATTTATTTATCGTGTCAGAGCAGTTGTTCTTTGGCAGCTGACGTGCCTTCAATGTTGATTGAGATTATTGTCATGGTTGGTCCTGAAAAGGTCTGTTGGTTGTTTTGCTTGCTTGTTTGCATGCTGCAAGTCGCTTCCAATGTTGTGATTCTATAGGCTGTACTTCCCACAATCCCCCATCTTGGCACTCATTCTCTCCCCCCCCCCCCCCCCCCAAAATGGTGCTTTTCTTCCATTCCTGGCTGCTCAGAGCTGGCCTGAGACTCAGCCTGGCCTTCATGACCCTCCTTCTTCTCCTTTGCAGGTCTTGAGCAACGCCCGCCTCTTCCTGGAGAACCTCATCAAGTAAGTGGCTAGCCTTTGTGTCACCCTCAGAGTCGCCCTTTGGGCTTGAGCGTCCTCCTCTCTTGGTTTCCCTTGTGAGGTCCAGAAGGGCAATGCTTCCCCCGTGTGGCACAGAGACCTACTGCAGCCCATCCGCTTCAAACCCCCACCTCTTGGGTTGCTGTGAATTTTCTGGGCTGTCTGGCCATGTTCAGAAGCATTCTCTCCTGACGTTTCACCCACATCTGTGTCAGGCATCCTTAGAGGTTGAGGGGTGTGTTGGAAACTAGGCAAGGAGATCCCACCTGAACATGAGGAAGAACTGCTATGTTCAGCAAAGGACAAATGCTACATTCAGCAAAGGACAAGAGGGATCCTCTCACTTCTGCAGGAGTCTACCGTGTACCATGCAGCTGTGGACAAGTCTACATAGGGACCACCAAACACAGCATTGCCCAAACACGAATCAAGGAACATGAAAGGCACTGCAGACTACTTCAACCAGAGAAGTCAGCCATAGCAGAGCAACTGATGAACCAACCTGGACACAGCATATTATTTGAGAACACAGAAATGCTGGACCACTCTCACAACCACCATGTCAGACTACACAGAGAAGCCATTGAAATCCACAAGCATGTGGACAATGTCAACAGAAAGGAGGAAACCATGAAAATGAACAAAATCTGGCTACCAGTATTAAAAAGCTCAAAAATTACAACAGCACAACAACAGAGAGGAAACAAACAAGGACATCTAATCACCTCTCAACAAAAGTTTGCTCTAGGCACTATCAGGCCATTATATGCTAATTAAGGTGGTCAGTGGAAACATTCACACCTAGCTCCAGCAGACAAGAGTCCTTTGTCCCACCCTGGTCATTCCACAGAGATATAAACCCAGTGATTCTGGCCATGAAAGCCTTCGACAATACATGAGGAAGAACTTCCTGATTGTGAGAGCTGTTCAGCAGTGGAACTCTCTGCCCCAGTGTGGTGGAGGCTCCTTCTTTGGAGGCTTTTAAACAGAGGCTGGATGGCCATCTGTTGGGGGTGCGATTGTCCTGCTTCTTGGCAGGGGGTTGGACTGGATGGCTCACGAGGTCTCTTCCAACTCTATGATTCTAAATGGGTTCAAATGTTAGAAAGAGATTTCACACAAACTTTGGGAAGAACCTGGTGAGATTAGGCAAGCCCCCACCTTAGCAGACTTCAAGGAAAACCTGAAAACCTGGTTCTTCCGATGTGCCTTTGGAGAGTGACCATTTATCCCATTTCTGTTTGCTCCGTCTATAGTGTTGCCCCTACGATGCACTTTCCCCCGTCCTAAATTGAATGCCTCAACCCACTGTTTTATCCTTTTGGGGTTCCTCTCAATTACATATTTTCTATTCCTACCTCATCCAGGGTTTTATCATTTTACCTCGACCATTTGGCCTGCCCATTTTGTTCGATTTTATATTGTGTTAATTTGCTTTATTTATTTTATTTTGCTGCTGTAAGTATTTTCTGATGTAATTTTTGTTGTCTGCATTCTGTATTTTATTTTTCTGTATTGTATCTTTGGGCTTGGCCTCATGTTAGCCGCCCCGAGTCCCCTTTCTGGAGGGTGGCGGGGTATAAATGATGATGATGGTGATGATGATTATGATTATGAACCTCAGGATGGTAAGAGAGAACAAGCCCTATGAGGAGCGGCTTAAGGAGCTGGGCATGTTTAGTCTGAAGAAGAGAAGGCTGAGAGGAGATATGATAGCCATGTATAAATATGTGAGAGGAAGCCACGGGGAGGAGGAGGGAGCAAGTTTGTTTTCTGCTTCCTTGGAGACTAGGACGCGAAATAATGGCTTCAAACTACAAGAGAGGAGATTCCATCTGAACATGAGGAAGAACTTCCTGACTGTGAGAGCCGTTCAGCAGTGGAACTCTCTGCCCCGGATGTGGTGGAGGCTCCTTCTTTGGAAGCTTTTAAACAGGGGCTGGATGGCCATCTGTCAGGGGTGATTTGAATGCAATATTCCTGCTTCTTGGCAGGGGGTTGGACTGGATGGCCCATGAGGTCTCTTCCAACTCTTTGATTCTATGATTCTATGATTCTATGATTCTAAGAGCTGTTGGAATAGAGTGGAATCTGCTGCTGCCCCTTCTCTGGAGGTCTTTAAACCAAGGCTGGATGTCATCTGCCGAGATTGCTTTGATTGTGTCTTCCTGCTTGGGTTGGACTGGATGGCTTTTGGGATGGACCTCTTCCAACTCTAAAATTGTGGGATTCAATGAGTCCGGGTGTCTGTCTGTTGGGAGAGTTTCAATGGTGCCTTCCTTCATAGCAGAGTAGGGTTGGCTTTTGAGGGGGATCTCTTCCAACCCGATGAGCCCATGAAGGCACAGACCAACTAGAACTGCAAACATGGAAGCTGGTTGGATGTCATCAGAGCTGTAGGTTGAGGGGGACATGAATGGAGGATGATCCATTGATAGAGGAGGACCTTTCTCTCCTTCCTTCCTTCCTTCCTTCCTTCCTTCCTTCCTTCCTTCCTTCCTTCCTTCCTTCCTTCCTTCCTTCCTTCCTTCCTTCCTTCCCATTGCAGGTACGGCATCTTGGTGGATCCCATCCAGGTCATCTCCTTGTTCCTGAAGGATCCGTACAGCTGGCCATCTCTGTGCCTGGTCCTTGGTGAGTCGCACGCCTTCGGGTCTTCTTCAGGGTCTGTCCTTTTGGACTAGAGTTCCCAGAATGACCAATGAATGACCGAGGTTGTGGGGAATATGGGCAACTTGCCTTGCTTTTGGCTGCAACCTGTAGCTTAAAGCCCCTTTCTTCTGAGGAAGCCCAGCATTAACGGCCAGCGTCTCTTTTGCCTCCAGTGTCCAACGTCTTCATCCTGGCAGCTCTGTTCATCGAGAAGAAGCTGGCGCTGGTAAGATGGGGCCTTCTCCTGAAGGAAAAAGGGGAGGGTGGGGGCAACTTGGATTTTCCATGGTGTTTGTTATGGATCAGGCTGATGTGGTTTTGTCTTTGAATGCTGTGTTAAGACTCCCATGAGACAGGATTTGAATCTCTGGTTACATCCCGTATAGACTACTGCAACGCACTCTACGTGGGGCTGCCTTTGAAGACTGTCTGGAAGCTTCAAATGGTCCCACAGACGGCAGACAGATTGTTAACCAGAGCAGCGCTCAAGGAGAACACAACTCCTCTGTTGCGTCAGCTCCACTAGCTACCAGTCTGCTACCGGGCACAATTCAAAGTGCTGGCTTTGGCGTATAAAGCCCTAAATGGTTCTGGCCCAGTTTACCTGTCCAAACGCATCTCCTCCTATGAACCATCTAGGTCTCTAAGATCGCCTGAGGAGGCCCTGCTCTTGATCAAGCCTTCATCACAAGTACGGTTGGCGGGGACGAGGGACAGGGCCTTCTCGGTGGTGGCCCCTCAGCTATAGAACCGCTTTGAGTCCCCCTTGGGGTGAGAAAAGCGGTATACAAATACTGTAAGTAAGTAAGTAAATAAATAAATAAATAAATAAATAAATAAATAAATAGAACACCCTCCCTAGGGATATCAGATCAGCTCCCTCTCTCTTATTGGAGGAAAGTTAAGACATGGCTGTTTGAGCAAGCGTTTACAAATGCAGAGTGACTGACATAGGAAATGGAATGACTAGACGATGGAATTGTGATTTGAATGCAATATTCCTGCTTCTTGGCAGGGGGTTGGACTGGATGGCCCATGAGGTCTCTTTCAACTCTTTGATTCTATGATTCTAAGGAGACGCTCATGATGTTGGATTTTACTGTTTCTGTTGTGGTTTTATATTGTATTTTAATGTTTCTATTACATTTTGATATTACGTGTATTGACTTGTTGCCTGTAAACCGCCTTGAGTCGCCGCCGAAAGACTGAGAAAGGCGGTATACAAATACAGTAAATAAACAAAAAATAAATAAATCCCCACTCAGTCTGGAAACCTGCCAGGTGACTGTGGGCAAGAAGTCATGCTCTTTCAGCTTCAGAGGAGAAAGAAAGGGTGACCATGCCTCCAAACAAATCCAGACCCATGGTATTTTCACTTTTGCTGTTGGTTCTGTTGGACTTACGGCAACCCAAAGGTGACCCTGTTCAGGGGGTTTGCCATTGCCTCCCTGTGAGGTTGAGAGAGTGTGACGGTCACGGTTTCATGACTGAGTGGGGATTTGAACGCTACTGTCCTGTGTCCTATTAAAACACTTAAACCACTGCACCAAACTGGCCTTAGGGTTGCCGTAAGTTGGGAAGGATGTAAGGCAGGGCTCCTCAAACTTTTTAAACAGAGGGACAGGTCACAGTCCCTCAAATTGTTGGAGGGCCAGATTATAATTTGAAAACAACAACAACCATGAATGGATTCCTATGCACACTGCACATATCTTATTTGTTGTGCAAAAGACACTTAAAAATACAATAATTAAAAGGAAGAACAGGAGATATGATAGCCATGTATAAATATGTGAGAGGAAGCCACAGGGAGGAGGGAGCAAGCTTGTTTTCTGCTTCCTTGGAGACTAGGACGCGGAACAATGGCTTCAAACTACAAGAGAGGAGATTCCATCTGAACACGAGGAAGAACTTCCTGACTGTGAGAGCCGTTCAGCAGTGGAACTCTCTGCCCCGGAGTGTGGTGGAAGCTTTTAAACAGAGGCTGGATGGCCATTTGTCAGGGGTGATTTGAATGCAATATTCCTGCTTCTTGGCAGGATGGAGTTGGACTGGATGGCCCAGGAGGTCTCTTCCAACTCTTTGATTCTATGATTCTATGATTTTAATAAATATAAAATTATTAGTATTTCAATGGGACGTGTGGGCCTGCGTTTAGCTGATGAGGTAGGATTGTTGTTGTTGTTGTTGTGCTTTCAAGTCATTTCAGACTTAGGTTGACCCTGAGCGAGGGCCGGGTAAATGATCTTGGAGGGCCGTATCCGGCCCCTGGGCCGTAGTTTGAGGACCTCTGATATAAGAGCATCATCCATCAGCAGATCTGTCCCCATAGTCATCCTTCACCCCTTTGTTCCCATGACAAAAATGGGTCAGGGATCGAGATGGGGAAGAACCAGTGACCCACTTTGCTGGGAATCCAGATGTGATACCTGCCTTGGAATCTCCTTCCCTGGAGGTTTTTAAGCAGAGGCCAGGTGTCCATCTGTTGGGAGGGCTTTGATCATGTTTCTCTACCTGGAGAAGGGGTTGGGCTAGATGGTTCCTTGGGGTGTCCTCCAACTCGGTGATTCTATGACCTGTGCACCCCCCTAAGACGTGGCTCTTCTCCCTTGCTTCCTGCAGGGCTCCCTGTCGGAGCGGATGGGGTCCGTCCTCCACACCCTCAACCTCCTGACCATCCTGTGCTTCCCTGCCCTTGTGGTGCTGGCCGTCACCTCCACCACTCCCGGTGAGCGAGCGTTTGGGGGCGGAGAGGGGCCCTGTTTTCCTATGCAGGACCCCAGACCTTCTCCTTGTGAGGAATGTTTGGTCTCTCTAGCAAAGCAAGGTGTAGTGTGATACATCTCAGGTAAAAGAGTAGATAGACAAAAGAAAGTGAACCTGCTGGGACTTTAAGATCATCCAGGGAGGCCCTGCTCTCAATCTTGCTGGCGTCACAAGTACGTTTGGTGGGGACAAGAGACAGGGGCTTCTCAGTGGTGGCCCCTCAGCTATGAAACACCCTTCCTAGGGACATTAGATTGGCCCCCTCCCTCTGAACATTCCGGAAAAGAGTCAAGACTTGGCTGGGTTGTTGTAGGTTTTTCCGGGCTATATGGCCATGTTCTAGAGGCATTTTCTCCTGACGTTTCGCCTTCATCTATGGCATGCATCCTCAGAGGTAGTGAGGTTTAAAATTACGACAGCAAAACAACAGAGAGTAAACAATCAGGCACATCTAATCACCTCTCAACAAAAGATTCCCCCAGGCCATCAAATGCTAATTAAGGTGGTCAGTTGAAACATTCACACCTAGCTCCAGCAGACAAGAGTCCTTTGTCCTACCCTGGTCATTCCACAGATATATAAACCCTTTTTTCCTAGTTCCAACAGATCTCACAACCTCTGAGGATGCTTGCCATAGATCCAGGCGAAACGTCAGGAGAAAATGCCTCTAGAACATGGCCATATAGCCTGGAGAAACCTACAACAACCCAGTGATTCTGGCCATGAAAGCCTTTCACAAGACTTGGCTGTTTGAGCAAGCGTTTGAAAATTCAATGTAATAGACATAGGAATATGGAACGACTGAATAATGAGATTGGACAACGTTTTAATTAGGAGACACAAATTATGTAGGTTTTATTGCTTTTGTGATGGTTTGATATTATATAGTAATGTTTTAAAATGTTTTATGGTGTTTTGGGCATCGAATTGATGCCTCTGTTAACTGCCCTGAGTCTCCTGAGCACGCTGAGAAGGGCGATATAGAAATATAGTAAATAAATAAAATAATAAAGTTCCCTAACTTTTATTGCTGAAGGCTTTAATGCCTGGACTCACTGGGGTGTTGTGTGGTGTAAGGAAGCGTAATCCCACCTAAATGGGATTACCAAAATTAAGTAAATATGTATGTTGATCCACCTTATTTCAGCATAAATTATAAGGAAGTCCCAATACTGCTTGATTATTCTGCCACCATTATATATATAAAGAGATGTTGGAATTGAAGTCTCTGTTTATCCCTATCTGCGTTGTGAGGCAACTTTGGTAGAGTGGATTGCACCAAATGTAAAATCAATGGAGGAGGCAGATTTATAACACAGAGAGAACAAGTTTATTGTTAACAGAGCGTAATTGTTGCAATACTAAGATGTTGAACTTGGCACAAGCTTGATGGTTACAATATGGCTTGGTAGAGATACATTCAGGCTTCTGATATTACAATCCTTTAAACTCCTTCTTCAGTGAAGTACTTTATTATTTCAGTGTTCCCTGTTGTGAATATTCACTCTGTTTGTCCTATACCGGATCAAACCACCGATCTCCAGTCTTTCACTACTGGGATCCCTAAAACCCCCTTTGTTAGATTCTTTTTAACACAAGCAATCTAACAAGGTTTCACCTTCAGCTCCCTTGCTGAAGAAATATTCACAAATGCTCAGAACTAACTGAATTTATACTGCTTCACCACACAGAGCCCTAACTGACTCCGCTCCTCTTCTCAGGGTCTCATCCTCCTGACTGACTATTAACTGTTACTTTCAAACCTTTTTCTCCTTAAGCTCCGCCCACCTTCTCTTCTGCCTTGTCACCATGGCAACCTATCTCTCACAGCTAGGCCATGGCCACGCATGTAAAACATAAATACAGTTTAAACACAGTACATTAAACCCTTTATAATAAACACTTCTCTACATGTGGTTTCCAGGTTGTATGTCCGTGGTGAAACGTCAGGAGAATATGCTGCTAGAACACGGCCGTACAGCCTGGAAACCACACAACACCTCTTTGGTAAAAGGTTCTCTAAAGGCTGACTCTTCTGTCTCTGTATGTCAGGCCTCTCAAGGCAAGGAGAGGTTCCGCTGTGCTCTTTTCTCAAACAAAGAGCCATAAAGGCACACTTTAGGCTTTTAGGAAGGGGGGGGGATTGACCAGAAAGCAAAACACAGTTTGAGTTGTAAACATCTAAGAAAAAGGTGGAAACAAGGCACACAGACCACTCTTCAGAGGGATTCATGACTTCCACACCTTTGACAATTTTGGTGACCCTTCTTTGGACACCTTCCAGTTTATTTATTTATCATGTCAGAAGTGAACCAAACAGTTGTATTGTATTTCAAATAAAACCACAAAGTTTGCAGACTTGGCATTCTATTAAATGTCCTTTGACCAGTAGCTGGCCACTTGGAGTGCCTCTGGTGTTGCTGTGAGAAGGTCCTCCAATGTGCATGTGGTAGGGCTCAGACTGCATTATACTAGGAGGGCTGTGGTTTGCTCTTTTTCACAGTCGCATGTCGTGTATTCCACTTTGTAGCCCCATTTCTTGAGGTTGGCTCTGCATCTGGTGGTGCCCGAGCACCGTCTGTTCAGTGCCTTCCAAGTCGCCCAGTCTTCTGTGTGCCCAGGGGGGAGTCTCTCATTTGGTATCAGCCATGGGTGGAGGTTCTGGATTTGAGCCTGCCACTTTTGGACTCTTGCTTGCTGTGGTGTACCAGCGACTGTCTCTGTAGATTTTAGAAAACTTTTTCTTGATTTAAGTCGTTGACGTGCTGGCTGATACCAAAACAAGGGATGAGCTGGAGATGTCACTGCCTTGGTCCTTTCACTATTCCCGGTGGATGTCAGGTGGTGCAATATTGGCCAAAATGTGTAAATTCCCCAGTGGTGTAGGGCGCAGACACCCCGTGATAATGCGGCATGTCTCATTAAGAGCGACATCCATTGTTTTAGCGTGGTGAGATGTGTTCCACACTGGGCATGCATTCTCAGCAGCAGAGTAGCAAAGCGTAAGGGCAGATTTCTTCACTGTATTGTCGACGGCTTTCATGGCTGGAAACACTGGGTTGTTTAGGTTTTTCAGGCTTTATGGCCATGTTCTTGAAGCATTCTCTCCTGACGTTTTGCCTGCATCTATGGCAAGCATCCTCAGAGGTTGTGAGGTCTGACCTCCCAACCTCTGTGGATGCTTGCCATAGATGCAGCCGAAACGGCAGAAGAGAATGCTTCTAGAACTTGGCCATTTAGCCTGAAAAACCTACAACAACCCAGTGTCTTTACTGTGTCTGGTTGTGATCCCCAGGTTGTGCCAGTCAGCTTTTGTATGTTATTGTTTCTAGCACCCACTTTTTGCTTGATATTCCGTCAGTGCTTCTTGTGGGTCAGAGCACGGTCCAGTTGGTCCACCATCTTCTTGAATTGCTTTGCCCTGAACTGGACACATAGTTATTATTCCAGGTGACCAAAGGTGAAGAGAGTGGGACTTTCCAGGTGATACAAAGTCAAATGTGAATTGTGTGGAGTGTTCGACCTTGATCAAGATGTTTTCCATGGGTTGTCTGCCCATCTTTCTGCTTCCTCAGTTGGGGCCGTCCTCGCTCTCGCCACCCACACCATCCTCTTCCTCAAGCTCTTCTCCTTCAAGGATGTCAACCGGTGGTGCCGGGAGAAGAGGCAGGCGAAGGCTGCCCAAACACGGTCAGGTGAGCTCTCTGCCCACTTTGGGAATGGAAAAAGTTGGAGGGAAGCACTGCTGGGTCCCAGAGAGTAGAGAGAAACCCAGAAGAGGGAATGGAAAGCGTGACTTGGCGTGGATAGTCCTTGGTGTCAGAGACTTTGACCGTTCAGCAAGGCAGGAACACGATCGATCACAGCCACTTTAGGCTATAAACTACTTTATTTTACAGCTATATATCATATATACTTGAGTATAAGCCGACCCGAATATAAGCTGAGGCACCAAATTTTACCACAAAAAACTGGGAAAACGTATTGACTCGAGAATAAGCCGAGGGTAGGAAATGCAGCAGCTACTGGTAAATTTCAAAATAAAAATAAATTTCAAAATAAAAATAAAAAATTTGAAATAAAAATTAAAACAGTACAATTACATTAATTGAGGCACCAGTAGTTTAAATGTTTTGAATATTTACATAAAACTATAATTTAAGATAAGACTGAGGAACTCTGATTAAACCATTATTCTAACCTTCTTCAATGTAAATGTGCTTGCATATCCTTCCAATAAAAAGAGAGTAAAATAATAAATGTAATACCACTAATTAATAATGGTGTAAAATAATGGAAATGTAATAATAACAGTAACAATAGAGTAAAAGAATAAATATAAGAAAAATTATAAAGTAGAATGATCAATGTAGTAATAATAATAACAACAACAACAACAACAATAACAATACATTTATTATGTATTTCTAACAGGGTAAAATAATAAATAACCTTGACTCGAATATAAACTGACCGGGACTTTTTCAGCATTAAAAAAGGGCTGAAAAACTAGGCTTATACTCGAGTATATACAGTACATTAGAAGCTACTTAAGACTCAGCACATTGTAAAACTTGTTTCTATACCACCGTCCGATCTTAACATCACGAACACATGAACTCCTGTTATCAGTACTAGTCCACACCTCTTGCATTCCAGAGTGACGTATGATATACGACGCACGAGGCTGCATCCATTTGTTCTATACACTTAATTTATGACCTCTCTAGGAATGCCGTTCCCTCCATGGTTCAGTTAACTCTTTCCACACAGGAATACATTACCCTCCGCACATAGCACTGCATTTTTTAAACATACATACATACTTTGAAATCTACATTACAAATTGCAAAGAACTTCAACACTTGGGGCTGTTCAGTTTTAAATCATAGAATCCTAGAAAAGCTACTCCATTTCTTCTGTATTCCAGCTTCTGGGCCCCAGAAAGCTAATGGAGAGGTGGCACTGAGCCGCGTGGCTTATCCAGCAAACCTGACCTACAAAGGTAAGGAGACTGTAGAGGTCAACGGGTGGGAAGCAGCAAGACAGTTGACCAAAGCATGGCTGGTCTCTTGTCTCAAGGTGGAGCATCTCTCTGGGGTTTCCGACGCCTTCCTTGCAGGAAGAGGGTAACTTTTCCCTCCTGCCGCAGCCCAGGTCATCTTCCCCACTCTCTTTTTGCAGATATGTACTATTTCATCTTTGCACCGACCTTATGCTACGAGCTGAACTTCCCTCGCTCCCCGCGCATCCGCAAGCGGTTTCTGCTGCGCAGGCTCTTTGAGATGGTGAGGCACCTCTGTGTGTGTGTGTGTGTGAGAGAGAGAGAGAGAGAAAAGAGACAAAAAGTGCTTCAAGGATTCTTTTTTAAAAAGTATTTTTATTGAGAATAAGGGTGGGCTCCCTAAAGCACTGTTTCTCAACCTGGAGGTCGGGACCGCAAGGGGTTGTCAGATGGGTTGCCAAAGACTATCAGAAAATACAGTATTTTCTGTTGCTCATGGGAGTTCTGTGTGGGAAGTTTGGCCCAATTCTCTCATTGGTGCGTTTCAGAGTGCTCCTTGACTGTAGGTGAACTATAAATCCCAGCAACTGCAACTCCCAAATGTCAAGTTCTATTTTTCCCAAACTGCCAGTGTTCACATTTGGGCATATTGAGTATTTGTGTCAAGTTTGGTCCAGATCCATCATTGAGTCCACAGTGCTCTCTGGATGGAGGTGAACTACAACTCCCAAAGTCAAGGTCCATGCCCACAAAACCCTTCCAGTATTTTCTGTTGGTCATGGGAGTTCTGTGTGTTAAGATCGGCCCCCTCCCCTCCTGACCTTTCAAAAAAGAGTGAAAACCTGGCTCTTTGAGCAAGCATTTGGAACTTCAGCATGACCAGATAAACTCAAATTGGAATATGAATGAGGAACGGCTAAGACAATGGAACGGTTGAGGATTTGAACAAGAAGACATAGTTTTTATAATTTCACTATCCGTTCCCTGCCACGCATTGCTTTGGACCACATGGGGGTTGTGTGTGGGAGGCTTGGCCCAATTCTATCACTGGTGCGGTTCAGAATGCTCTGTGATTGTAGGTGAACTATAAATCCCAGCAACTGCAACTCCCAAATGTCAAGTTCTATTTTTCCCAAACTGCACCAGTGTTCATATTTGGGCATATTGAGTATTTGTGTCAAGTTTGGTCCAGATCCATCATTGAGTCCACAGTGCTCTCTGGATGGAGGTGAACTACAACTCCCAAAGTCAAGGTCCATGCCCACAAAACCCTTCCAGTATTTTCTGTTGGTCATGGGAGTTCTGTGTGTTAAGTTTGGTTCAATTCCATTGCTGGTGGAGTTCAGAATGCTCTTTGATTGTAGGTTAACTATAAATCCCAGCAAACTACAACTCCCAAATGACAAAATCAACGCCCCAACCCCACCAGTGTAGCGAATTTGTTACTCTGTGTGAAAATTTTAGTGTATAGATCTATGTTTGCAGGGGGCAGATAGGGAAGATTAGAGACAAGTAGTATAGCAACAGCGGACAAGATCATTTGCATATGGAGCCCGATTGGTCCTATGCAGATTAGTGCAGACAGTTGGGAAGAGCAGAGCCGAACATTCTAAAGGGGCGGAGTTAAGTTTAAAAAGAGGCAGTTAGAGTAGAGAGTTTAGAAAATGGGAGTTGGGAACAGAGTTTGAGAAATGAGCAGTTAAGAAAATGTGTTAGGGATCTCTGTGTGAGAAAAGAAGTCAGGAACTTCTGTTATTGAAGTAGTTAGGACTTCCTGTTTAAGAAAAGGAGAGTTGGGAATCTCTGCCTAAAAGAAGAAGTTAAGAAACACTGTCTGAGGGAGACAGTGAGGAATCTCTGTTAGAGAGTTAGTTAAGAATGGCTGCTTGTGAAGTTAGTTAAGGAAAAGCTGTTTGAGAACAGTTGGGAATCTGTGTGTGAAGAGAAGAAGTTAACCCTGCCTGAGAGAGAGAGACAGTGGGGAATCAGAGAATAAGTTATATTTATTTATTTATTTATTTACTGCATTTATTGACCGCCGCTCTCAGCCCTAGGGCGACTCGCGGCGGTGCACAACATATAAAAACAGTTTACAAAAAGGGCAAAACAGGGAATCAATACAACAATAATACACTATAATCTAGTTACACTAAATAATCCGCTCCGTCACATCATAGAATCATAACCAATATCGTAATCCGTATTCCGTTCCAGTTGTCAATTACCAGTTGCCGTAGCGCTCAGTTGAATGCCTTCTCAAATAGCCAGGTCTTCAGGCTCTTTCGGAAGGACAGAAGGGAAGGCGCCTGTCTGATGTCAGCAGGGAGGTCGTTCCACAGCCGGGGGGCCACCACCGAGAAGGCCCTTTCTCTCGTCCCCGCCAGACGTGCCTGTGAAGCAGGCGGGATCGAGAGAAGGGCCTCCCCAGACGATCTCAAGGCCCTCGTGGGCTCATAGGCCAAGATGCGGTCCGAAAGGTATTTTGGGCCGGAACCATTTAGGGCTTTGTAGGATAGCACCAGCACCTTAAATTGGGCCCGGTAGCAAATCGGCAGCCAGTGGAGCTGGAACAGCAAGGGCGTTGTGGCTTAAGTTACAATATTATCCTGTCAAGAGTTTAAAAGGAAAGTGCACCAAGTATATTATACATGACTGTAACTCAAGTTCGCAACAAAAATAGTAATTGTAACCACAATCGTTTGGAGCTTGGAATGTTTGAATAAACGTTGATACTTTGTTTCATACAAGAGAGACTCAAGCCTGTGATTCCAAGCTAAGAAGCTTCTGTTTTACAACACACAGAGCAAATCAGTAGGCCTGGGTAACAACGCAAAAATTTGTTTCTAAAATCGATTTGTATTTGGTTTTTTTTGTTTCGATATTTAAAATAATTACAAAATTTTCCCTTAAAAAAGTTCGGTATTTACGAAATTTCGTTAATATTTACAAAACATTTTGTAAAGATGGCGCCCTTTTTTTTCAATATTTTTTTAATTTAATTATTAATTTAGTAGAATAGGGAGGAGAAATTATTATTAAGGAGGGAAGGCAGGCACTCACTCTGGCGGGCCCTCAAGCGCTGCCGCCGAGTCGGGCCCGGCTCCTCCGAAGCAATGCGAAATTGGGAGAAGGGCTCCCCAAAGGCCATCTAGCCCAGCCCTCCGCTAAGGAATTGGGAGAACGAAGCCCAGCCCTCCGCTAAGGAATTGGGAGAACGAAGCCCAGCCCTCCGCTAAGGAATGGGGAGAACGAAGCACAGCCCTCCGCTAAGGAATGGGGAGAACGAAGCACAGCCCTCCGCTAAGGAATTGGGAGAACGAAGCACAGCCCTCCGCTAAGGAATTGGGAGAACGAAGCCCAGCCCTCCGCTAAGGAATTGGGAGAACGAAGCACAGCCCTCCGCTAAGGAATTGGGAGAACGAAGCACAGCCCTCCGCTAAGGAATTGGGAGAACGAAGCCCAGCCCTCCGCTAAGGAATTGGGAGAACGAAGCACAGCCCTCCGCTAAGGAATTGGGAGAACGAAGCACAGCCCTCCGCTAAGGAATTGGGAGAACGAAGCACAGCCCTCCGCTAAGGAATTGGGAGAACGAAGCACAGCCCTCCGCTAAGGAATTGGGAGAACGAAGCACAGCCCTCCGCTAAGGAATTGGGAGAACAAAGCACAGCCCTCCGCTAAGGAATTGGGAGAACGAAGCACAGCCCTCCGCTAAGGAATTGGGAGAACGAAGCACAGCCCTCCGCTAAGGAATTGGGAGAACGAAGCACAGCCCTCCGCTAAGGAATTGGGAGAACGAAGCACAGCCCTCCGCTAAGGAATTGGGAGAACGAAGCACAGCCCTCCGCTAAGGAATTGGGAGAACGAAGCACAGCCCTCCGCTAAGGAATTGGGAGAACGAAGCACAGCCCTCCGCTAAGGAATTGGGAGAACGAAGCACAGCCCTCCGCTAAGGAATTGGGAGAACGAAGCACAGCCCTCCGCTAAGGAATTGGGAGAACGAAGCCCAGCCCTCCGCTAAGGAATTGGGAGAACGAAGCACAGCCCTCCGCTAAGGAATTGGGAGAACGAAGCACAGCCCTCCGCTAAGGAATTGGGAGAACGAAGCACAGCCCTCCGCTAAGGAATTGGGAGAACGAAGCACAGCCCTCCGCTAAGGAATTGGGAGAACGAAGCACAGCCCTCCGCTAAGGAATTGGGAGAACGAAGCACAGCCCTCCGCTAAGGAATTGGGAGAACGAAGCACAGCCCTCCGCTAAGGAATTGGGAGAACGAAGCACAGCCCTCCGCTAAGGAATTGGGAGAACGAAGCACAGCCCTCCGCTAAGGAATTGGGAGAACGAAGCACAGCCCCCCGCTAAGGAATTGGGAGAACGAAGCACACCCACCGCAAAGGTGAGGAAGGAGGGACGGGGCCGCCTTCCCGCTGAGGGTCGCTCGCCCTCTCGCTCGCTTGCTCAGCCGGCGCCTTCCCCGCCCTCTCCTCCTCCTCCTCCTCCTCCTCCTCCTCCTCTTTCAGGCTCTGACTGGCTAAGGAGAGGAGAGAGAGGAGAGCTCCCAGCAAGCATCTAGCCAAGCCATCTTACGTATTTCCGAAATGGACGGAAATACAAAATTTTTTGGCGCATGCCGTTTCGATATTTAAAAACACTTCCGGGTTTAAAAATAAGTTTTGTAATCGTTTTGTAATTGCTAAAATTAACGAATATTTAACGAATTACAAAATTAACGAACGAAACCGCCCAGGCCTACAAATCAGATATTAGAGTGTTGGCAGAGGACTGCACATAGGTGCATGCTTCTGTTACAAACTGGTGGCCTCCCTTTTGTTACAACCAGTATTCAAATATGGGCATATTGGGTATTTGTGCCAAATCACTAGTGATTAAAAACACATCCTGCCTATCGGATATTTACATTATGATTCATTTAGGAAAATGACAGCCATGAAATAGCAATGAAAATAATGTTATGGTTGGGGGTCACAGCAACACGAGGAACTGTCTTAAGGAGTTGCGGCATTAGGAAGGTTGAGAAGCACTGCTCTAAAGGAAGGAGCAACCATTGACTGGAAGAGGTAGCGATGAAAGTTTCTTTTATTTACATAAAAAGAGTGGGAACAATGTGTGTGGAAGAAAAGTGGGAAGTAAAAGGAATAGTAGAGCCATTCAAAAAAAGAAAAGAAAAGAAAAACGAAAAAGAGGGACATGGGGGGGGGGGAAGGGGGGAAAGGGCTGTTGTAGAAACTTCCAGGTCTCCCCGGGTTGCGGATTCTTTACATTTTCCTTAACCTTGTTTACTTTTGTCATCGGATTTCGCAGTGATTGTTCCATTGAGTTTCGTTTATATTTTAATAATATAGCTACCTGTATTTTCCTCATTCATGAATTCTATGACTTTTCTCCAGTTAGTTCTGTGGGGGTTACTTGACATTTTTTGAGTAAGCATATCCATGTTCATGGTATCCATTACTTTTAGGGTCCATTGTTGTAGTGTTGGTGTTTCCTTATTTTTCCACATTTTGGCTAAAACAACTCTTGCAGCTGTAACTAAATGATTAAAAAATGTTGTCCGAACTTTTGTCCATTTGGAAATCTGTGATCCCTAAGAGGAAATATTCAGGTTTAACATCGAATTTCAGGTGTAAAATTTGTTCAATTTTCTTATAAATTTGGTGCCAAAATTGCTTAATTTTCTTACATTTCCACCACATGTGGAAGTAATCTAGGGTAAAGGTAAAGGTAGTCCCCTGACATTAAGTCCAGTCTTGTCTGACTCTGGGGTGTGGTGCTCATCTCCATTTCCAAGCCGAAGAGCCAGCGTTGTCCGTAGACACCTCCAAGGTCATGTGGCCGGCATGACTGCATGGAACGCCGTTATCTATATATATATAATCTATATATGTATAAATGCTCATGTCGTAATGAGTGGCTTAAAAACAAAAGAACCGCTGGGCCAATACCCACCAAATTTGGCAACAAAATGTCTCACAACACAAGGAGTGACCATCACTCAAAAAAATTAGGATTTTGTCATTTGGGAGTTGTAGTTGTTGGGATTTATAGTTCACCTGCACTCAAAGAGCATTCTGAACTCCACCAATGATGGAATTGGACCAAACTTGGCACACAGAACTCCCACCACCAACAGAAAATACTGGAAGGGTTTGGTGGGCACTGACCTTGAGTTTGGGAATTGTAGTTCACCTACATCTAGAGATCACTGTGGACTCAAACAATGATGGATCTGGACCAAACTTGGCACAAGCACTCAATACGCCCAAATATGAACACAGATGGAGTTTGGGGTAAATAGACCTTAACATTTGGGAATTGTAGTCACTGGGATTCACAGTTCACCTACAATCAAAGAGACAGAATCGGGGCAAACTTCCCACCCAGAACCCCCATGACCAACAGAAAATACTTAAGGACATCCAAGGCCATTTTCCAGATCAACAGACTGGGCCACAGCAACGTGTGGCAGGGGACAGCTAGTTCCCTATATGTTTTTCGTATTTCCAGCATTTTCTTTTTATTTTGCCTTTGCTAAATTTTGATATTTTTTCCGGTGTCGAGTACCACCTATAGAACAGTTTATAACAATTCTCTTTAAGTTCTGTTGAATATTTAAGGGTTTCTGCGCATAAGAGCCAATGCAATTCTAGGCTGCATCAGTAGGAACATAGTGTTTTGATCGAGATAATTCATAGGGCCCTTCCACACAGCCATATAACCCAGAATATTAAGGCAGAAAATCCCACAATACCTGCTCTAAACTGGGTTATCTGGGTCCACACTGCCATATATTCTACCCGAATGCATCTCTCTCTATGAAACTTCCAGGAGATCGTCGGAGGAGGCCCTGCTCTCCATCCCACCTACTTTACAGGACGAGAGACAGGGCCTTCTCTGTGATGGCCCCTCGGCTGTGGAACTCCCTGCCTAGGGATATTAGATCGGCCCCCTCCCCTCCTGACCTTTCAAAAAAGAGTGAAAACCTGGCTCTTTGAGCAAGCATTTGGAACTTCAGCATGACCAGATAAACTCAAATTGGAATATGAATGAGGAACGGCTAAGACAATGGAACGGTTGAGGATTTGAACAAGAAGACATAGTTTTTATAATTTCACTATCCGTTCCCTGCCACGCATTGCTTTGGACCACATGGGGGTTGTGTGTGGGAGGCTTGGCCCAATTCTATCACTGGTGCGGTTCAGAATGCTCTGTGATTGTAGGTGAACTATAAATCCCTGCAACTACAACTCCCAAATGTCAAGGTCTGTTTTCCCAAAACTCCACCAGTGTTCACATTTGGGCATATTGAGTATTCATGCCAAGTTTGGTCCAGATCCATCATTGTTTGAGTCCACAGTGATCTCTGGATGTAGGTGAACTACAACTCCAAAACCAAAGGACACTGCCCACCAAACCCTTAGGTCCCACTCACATCTTTCTCCTCCTCCTCTTCCTTTTAGCTCTTCTTCCTCCAGCTGATGGTGGGGCTGATCCAGCAGGTGAGCATCTTGCTGACCATTTCTGTACCTTGGGGAAGGGATGAAGGAGGCTCCTCTGCAAACCTTGGCAGCACTTGGGGCCTTTTGGGATTGGGATGGGTGAGCTCAGGATGGCTGGTAACTCCTTTACACCCAGCTGTGTGTGCTTTTCTTGCAGTGGATGGTCCCCACGATTCAGAACTCCATGAAGCCTTTCCGGGTAAGTTGAGCACCTGGGCAGAAGGGCTCCTTATGGTTTGCCTTGAGGATCACTGAGAAGGCCCTGTCTCTCGTCCCCACCAATTGCACCTGTGACAATGGTGGGACGGAAAGCAGGGCCTCCCTGGAGGATCTTAATCTCTGCGATGGTTCAAAGGGGGATATGTGTTCAGACAGGTAATTTGGGCCAGGGCTGTTTAGGGCTTGATAGGCCAAAGCCAGCACTTTGAATTGTGCCCGGTAGCAAACTGGCAGCCAGTGGAGCTGACCTAACATGGGAGTGGTGTGCTCCCTGTATGCCGCCCCAGTTATTAACCTGGCTGCCTCCCACTGGACTATTTGAAGCTTCCGAGCAGTCTTCAAAGACAACCCCACATAGAGTGCATTGTAGTAGTCTATATGGGATGTAATGAGAGTGTGGACCACAGTGGCCAAGTACGGTGCAGCTGGCGCACAAGTTTCAATGGTGCGAACGCTCCCCTGGCCACCGCTTCAACCTGGGATGAATCCCGAAGGACCCCCAAGCTGCGAACCTGTGCCTTCAAGGGGAGTGTAACCATGTCCGGCACAGGTTGCGACCCTATACCCTGTTTGGCCTTGTGACTGACCAGGAGGACCTCTGTCTTGTCTGGACTCAACTTCAATGTGCTCGCCCTCATCCAGACCGTCACAGCAGCCAGGCACCAGTTCAGGACTTGGACAGCCTCCTTAGCATCTGGTGGAAACGAGTGATAGAGTTAGAAGTCATCTGCGTACAGATGGCATCGAACTCCAAAACTCTGGATGATCTCACCCAGTGGCTGCATGTAAATGTTAAACAACATGGGGGACAAGACTGAGCCCTCCGGGACCCCACAGGACAAGGGCTGTGGGGCCGAGCAGGGGTCCCCCAGCACCACCTGGATGAAACATCTGGTCCTGTTCAACGTCTTCATTAATGACTTAGATGAAGGGCTAGAAGGCAGGATCATCAAGTTTGCAGGAGACACCAAATTGGGAGGAAGAGCCAATACTCCAGAGGACAGGAGCAGGATTCAAAATGATCTTGACAAATTAGAGAGATGATGGGCCAAAACTAACAAAATGAAGTTCAACAGTGACAAATGCAAGAGACTCCACTTTGGCAGAAAAAATGAAATGCAAAGATACAGAATGGGGGACGATGTCTGGCTCGAGAGCAGGACGTGTGAAAAAGATCTTGCAGGCCTTGTGGGCAACAAGTTAAACATGAGCCAGGAATGTCATGTGACAGCAAAAAAAGCCAATGGGATTTTGGGTTGCATGAATAGGAGTACAGTGTCTAGATCCAGGGAAGTCATGCTATATTTTTATTTATATAGATGGTAATAATATTAATTATTAATTAACGTCCTGGGTAGCCTCGTGAACGCAAGAAGGGGCACATTCCCACCTTTTTCTTTTCTTTTTCAGGATATGGATTACTCCAGGATCATCGAGCGCCTCTTGAAACTGGCTGTAAGTCTTCTCACTTGATCTCTTTCTCACTTGATACCTTTGGAAGAAACTGAGGTCAACTGGGGAGGGAAGGAAAGGGGCCCACAATTCAAGAAGGAGATTTTATTTATCGTGTCATCAGCAGCCAGACATTTGTATTACATTTTTAACAAAAACAAACAAACAAACAGACAAAACACAGAATTTGCAAGCTTGCTAGTTGATTAGATGTCCTTTGACCAGTCTCTGGCCACTTGGAGTGCCTCTGGTGTTGCCGCAAGAAGGTCCTCCATTGTTCATGTGGCAGGGCTCAGGTTGCATTGCAGCAGGTGGTCAGTGGTTTGCTCGTCTCCAAACTCGCATGTCGTGGATTCCACTTTGTGGTCCCATTTCTGAAAGTTGGCTCTGCATCTCGTGGTGCCAGAGTGCAGTCTGTTCAGCGCCTTCCAAGTCGCCCAGTCTTCTGTGTGCCCAGGGGGGAGTCTCTCATTTGGTATCAGCCATTGGTTGAGGTGCTGGGTTTGAGCCTGCCACGTTTGGACTCTCGCTTGGTGAGGTGTTCCAGCGAGTGTCTCTGTAGATCTTAGAAAACTATTTCTAGATTTAAGTCATTGACGTGCTGGCTGATACCCAAACAAGGGATGGGCTGGAGATGTCAGGAGATGGGCAGGGTGGAAAGGGGGCCAAAATGGTCCAAGGTCTGGAAACTATGAATCCCTTTGAGGGATGTTTAGCTGGGAGGAAAGAAGACCGAGAGAAAGAGACACGAAGGCCAGGTTTACATATTTGGGTGGATGTCCCATTGAGGAGAACGGGGAAAGCTTCTTTCCTGCTTCTTCAGAGAGTAGGACGCAATGGAGCAATAGGCAGAATCCTGCTAAATTTACTTCTTGTTTTCCATGGAAATCCCGGCAGGTCCCCAACCACCTGATCTGGCTGATCTTCTTCTACTGGTTCTTCCACTCCACCCTCAACGTCATTGCCGAAATCATGCAGTTCGGGGACCGGGAGTTTTACAGGGACTGGTGGTGAGTCGGCCCTTGGGGTGCGGGTGCAAATCGAGCCCTCTATTGTAAGGGTGCATATTGCACTGCAGAATTTGGTTTGGCACCACTTTTACTGCCATGGCCCAAAGCTGTAGAACACGCCTGGGCAAACTTGGGCCTTCCTGGTGTTTTGGACTTCAACTCCCACAATTCCTAACAGCTGGTTGTGGGAGTTTATTTATTTTTTATTTATTTACAGTATTTATATTCCACCCTTCTCACCCGCAGGGGACTCAGGGCGGATCACAATGCACATATACATGGCAAACATTCAATGCCATAGACACACAACATATACAGACAGACACACAGAGGCTATTTAACTTTCCAGTTTCATGAGGGTATACTCAGATTCCATCCACCGGGGGAGCTGTCACTTCACTGTCCACTTATAACACCAATGTACTTCCTCATTCTTTTGCATGCTGCTGGAGACTTTTATGGTGTCATAAATAGGTTCAATTACTGTATATACTCAAGTATAAGCCTAGTTTTTCAGCCACTTTTTTAGGCTGAAAAAACTCCCCTCAGCTTATACTCGAGGCAAGGTTATTTATTATTTGACTCTGTTATTATTATTATTACATTTGTTATTTTACTCTATTATTATTGTTATTATTACATTTATTATTTTACACTTTTATTACATTTATTATCTTACTATATTATTTTTATTATTTTTTTTATTACATATATTATTTTACTCTCTTTATTATTATTGGAAGGATACCTTGGCACTTTTACTCTATTTATTATTATTACATTTATTATTTTACTCTATTATTGTTTTCATTGCATTCATTATTTTACTCTATTATTATTGTTATTATTACATTTATTATCTTACTATATTATTTTTATTACTATTTTTATTACATATATTATTTTACTCTCTTTATTATTATTGGAAGGATACCTTGGCACATTTACATTGAAGAAGGTTAGAACAATGGTTTGATAAGAGTTGGACAGCCTTATCTTAAATTACAGTTTTATGTAAATATACAAAAACATTTCCCCTATTGATGCCTCAATTAATGTAATTGTATTGGTATCTATTTTTATTTTGAAATTTACCACTAGCTGCTGCATTTTCCACCCTCGGCTTATACTTGAGTCAATACATTTTCGCATTTTTTGTGGTAAAATTAGGTGTCTTGGCTTATATTCAGGTCAGCTGAAACTCAAGTATATATGGTAGCCTCCCCACATAAAGCGGTACCTAAATTTCCTACTTGACAGATGCAACTGTCTTTCGGGTTGCAAAGGTCGACAGCAAGCTAGATAAATGGTTGGAAGCTTACTCTGACCAACCTGGGCTGGCTTCGAACTCATGCCCTTTTGGTCAGTAGTGATTTTAATGCAGCTGACTCCCAACCAGCTGTGCCACAGCCCGGTCTGAGTTGAAGTCCAAAACACCAGGAGGACCCAAGTTTGTCCAGGCCTGTTATAGAATTCTGGGAGTGGCATCATCATCATTGCAGATGTCACCTCTTTCCCAGTGAGTCCCTTTTCTTTCCCAGTGCCATCACGGAGGGCCACTTCACCTAGCCACAGCCTTTGTGGTGCAAACACAGACAAACAGACACATATATTTTGATTTGAGTTGCCTAAGGGCTGAGAACAGTGGTATACAAATAAAGTAAATAAATAAATAAATAAATTTTCATATATAGAGTTTGTTGTTGTTACTATTTTATACACAAATTGGCACACAGCAATACAATGTATAATCTACAACATACAACAATTCAAATAGCATGGCATTGAAGGATGGGGGAATGATGGGAGCTGTTCTTCCCCTTGACCCAGTCTCTCTCTCTTTTTGCACCTCTATGTACTCCATCATTTCTCCTTCAGGAATTCTGAGTCAGTGACCTATTTCTGGCAGAACTGGAACATCCCCGTCCACAAGTGGTGCATCAGGTATGTATGGCTCTGGTGGGGTTCAAAATGGGAAGCGGGGGTGCTGGTGCTGCCTTGAATCAGCATCAAGTCTCCAGGAAGGTTGGGAAGAGGGTGCATTTCCCTTGATCAGAGAGACTCTCAGCCACCCGTGCAGGACGGAAGGGCCCTTGAGGGACAGCCCACATCACATGCCGGAAGCCTTGCTCCCTTTTATATTCTTTTGCTTTTTCCTTTCCATTCTTTCCCTCCTCATGTTTCATTCTCCCTTTCTTCATTTTTACCTCTTTTCCTCTTTCCTTCCTTTTTTTCCTCTTCCTTCCATCATCTTTCCCCTCCCTCTCTCCTTTTATCTTCTGGCTCTTTCTCCTTTTCTATTCTATTCTATTCTTTCCTTCCTCCCTTCCTTCCCTCTCTCTCCCCTCCCTCCCTCCCTCCCTCCTTCTTTTCTTCCTTCCTTCCTTCCTTCCTTCCTTCCTTCCTTCTCTTTCTTCTTTCTCCTCCCCTCCCCTCCCTCCCTCATTCCTCCCTCCTCCCTTCCATCCTTCCTTCCTCCTTCCTTCCTTTGTTCTTTCTTTCCTACCTTCCCTCCTTCCCTTCCCTCCTCCTTCCCCTTCTTTTCCTTCCCTCCCTCCCTCCCCCTCCTCCCTTTTTTCTTTCTTTCTCCCTCCCTTCTTCCCCTCCTCCCTCCCTCCCTCCCTTCCTCTTCCTTCCTTCCCTCCTTTTTCATTCCTTCTTTCCTCCCTCCCCTCCCCTTCCTTCTTCCTCTCTGTCTCCCTCTCTCCCTCTTCTTTTCCCTTCCTTCTTTCCTTCACTCAATTTTTTCTTTCTCTCTCACACTCCTTTTCCTTCCTTTTTTCCTTCCCACTCTACTTTACCCCTTCTCTTCTTTCTGTTCCCTTTCTTTCCTTCACTCCATTTCCTTCCTTCCTCTTACCTTCTTTTCCCATCTCTTATTTTCTCTTTCCTTCTGTTTCTTTACATTTTTCCTCCTTGTTTTCCCTTCTTCTTTCCTTCTCACCCTCCTGTTACTGCACATCAAAGCCTTCCTCCCTTTCCCTTCCCCCCCCCCCCATTCTTCCCTTTCAATTTCCCCTTCCTTCCTTTTACTTCCCTTCCTCTCTCCACCTTCAGGCTTTCCAATCTTTTGCTCTTTTCTTTCCAGTAAAAGACTCCTTATAGTGAAAGAGTCCTCCCATTCCCATTCCCCTTTCCCCTTCCTTTTCCCCTTCCTTTTCCATTTCCTTTTCCCTCTCCTCTTTCCCTCTTTCCCTTCTCCCCCCCCCTTTCCATCACTCTCTCACTTTATTCTTTTTCCTTCCTTTTTTTCTCCCACTTGCCTTCTTTTACCCCCTTCCCTCCCTCCTTTTACTTTCCCTGGGCTTGTTTGCTCCCCCCTCCCTTCCTCGCTTCTCCCCCCAGTCTTTTGATCTTTCTTCCTCCTCTTCCATTACCTTCCTGCCTTTCCCTCCCTTCTCTTCCCGCCTTCCTACTCTGTTCCTCCTTCTCTCCTTTCCCCCCTCCTTTGCATCTTTCCTTTACGAACCCTTACACCCTTACACATTCTCCCCTTCTTTTACCCCTTGGTTAACCTCTGTCCCCTTTCTCTCTTGCGTCTGCAGACATTTCTACAAGCCCATGATGAAGAAGGGCCTCGGGAAATACCCGGCTCAGGTCGCCGTCTTCTTGGCTTCGGCCTTCTTCCACGAGGTCAGTGACTGAGTGGGATGTCCAAAGGGGTCTCTTACAATGACCCACATGCCATACACACGTGTTTCCTCTTCCCTCCCCCTTGCAGTACCTGGTGAGCGTGCCCTTGAAGATGTTCCGGCTCTGGGCCTTCATGGGGATGGCAGCTCAGGTAAGGCCCCGAACGATTCTCATGCAATCTTTGAACATTTAGAGTACAGCATTCCTTTACTGTTTCTGTTATGGGACCACATACCGTATATACTCGAGTATAAGCCGACCCCAATATAAACCGAGGCACCTAATTTTACCACAAAAGCTGAGGGTATAAGCCGAGGGTGGGAAATACAACCACTACTGGTGAAGTTCAAAATAAAAATAGATACCAATACAGTGATGTCAATGAGTTTCAGGATGAGTTTCAAGATGGCAATTGTTTGGCCAGTGATATTGATGCAGAGAATGGCCAGGAGATCCCTGTTCAAATTGTAGTTTCCCATGAGAATGTCCCTGAGGGGTGTGGTGATAATCGTGTGCTCTCTGAATTGTTACCAGGGAGTTCTCATGATAGGGAACATAAAAACAGCTCGGCACCTGGCCCAGCTGCAGAAATTAGTGAGCAAATATATAGACAGGAGGAGATCAGTCAAAACAGGAGAACCGAGCAGTGGCTTTGCGTTCTGCCAGACTCCGAGAGAAAAAGATAAGAAATTCTCAGCTAAAGCAAAACCAATTTCTGAGTGCTAGAGACATAGCTGACGAGGAGATAAAAGTCCCAAGTACAGGATATGTAGTCAGATGAAGCATCGTTTGGAATCAAGTCAAGTTCTCGTCCACTGATAAGAAATTCTCCGCTAAAGCAAATCCAATTTCTGAGTGCTAGAGACATAGGTAATGAGGAGATAAAAGTCCCAATTACAGGATGTGTAGTCAGATGAAGCATCGTTTGGAATCAAGTCAAGATCTCGTCCTTGTTCATGGAAGCTTTGCTTGGAGAATTCATGTTTTAAGTGCCTTTGTTTCACGGTTTTGATCTATGTTTCTATTCAAGCCTTGGATTCATGTTTCCTGATTTCTTGCATTTTATTTGGGAAGTTTTGACTTTGTTTTTATGGACTTTGCTGGACTACTACCCTAGAACCATAGAATCATAGAGTTGGAAGAGACCTCATAAGCCATCCAGTCCAACCCCCTGCCAAAAAAGCAGGAAAATCCTATTCAAATCACCCCTGACAGATGGCCATCCAGCCTCTGTTTAAAAGCTTCCAAAGAAGGAGCTTCCACCACACTCCGGGGCAGAGAGTTCCACTGCTGAACAGCTTTCACAGTTAGAAAGTTCTTTGTAATGTTCAGATGGAATCTCCTTTCTTGTAGTTTGAAGCCATTGTTTCGCGTCCTAGTCTCCAGGGAAGCAGAAAACAAGCCCTCTCCCTCCTCCCTGTGGCTTCCTCTCACATATTTATACATGGCTATCATGTCTCCTCTCAGCCTCCTCTTCTTCAGGCTAAACATGCCCAGCTCTGGACTACTTTGTTCCTGGGTTGTTGTAGGTTTTTTCGGGCTATATGGCCATGGTCTAGAGCAGGGGTCCTCAAACCTTTTAAACAGAGGGCCAGGTTACAGTCCCTCAAACTGTTGGAGGGCCGGATTATAATTTGAAAAACAAAAACAAACCATGAATGAATCACACACTGCACATATCTTATTTGTAGTGCAAAAAAAAAAAACACTAAAAAATACAATAATTAAAATGAAGAACAATTTAAACAAATATAAACTTATTAGTATTTCAATGGGAAGTGTGGGCCTGCTTTTGGCTGATGAGATATAATTGTTGTTATTGTTGTGAGCTTTCAAATTGTTTCAGATTAAGGTTGACCCTGAGCGAGGGCCAGGTAAATGACCTTGGAGGGCCGTATCCGGCCCTCGGGCCTTAGTTTGAGGACCCCTGGTCTAGAGGCATTCATGGCCATATAGCCTGAAAAAACCTACAACAACCCAGTGATTCCGGCCATGAAAGCCGTCGACATTACTTTGTTCCTGCTTATCTTCCTACCTAATTGGATTTACCCATTTCTTTAAAGTGCTTTTTTACATTATTGCTTTTTAATTGATTGTTTTCCATCCAACGGTGTGGTGTTTAAAGTCAGAGGGCTTTCCGGTCCTGGAGTGCAACACTGAGTCAGAAGCAAGAAAATTAACCTGGCTTGGAAACAATGCATGTGAGAAGGATCTAGATCAGGCATGGGCAAACTTGGGCCCTCCTCCAGGTGTTTTGGACTTCGACTCCCACCACTCCTAACAGCCTACTGGCTGTTAGGAGTGGTGGGAGTCGAAGTCCAAAACACCTGGAGGAGGGCCCAAGTTTGCCCATGCCTGATCTGGGTTCTTTAAAGAAGCCAATGCAATCGTAGGCTTGCCTGACCTCTCCTTCCCCCTTTCCTCCCCTAGATCCCTTTGGCCTGGTTGGTGGGGCGCTTCTTCCGGGGCAACTACAGCAACGCTGCCGTCTGGATCTCCTTGATCATCGGGCAGCCCATTGCCGTCCTGATGTACGTCCACGACTACTACGTGCTGAACTACGAAGGGGCCCCGTGACCCCTCCCGTCCCTCCCCGTCCTGCTGTGGGGTGTTGGTGGCGGTGCACCTTTCCACGTCCTGCCTTCTCTGGACAGCCCTTAGGACTCCTTTTTGCGGCTGGAGGCTGATCAGATACAGTTTGGCTCCTCTCTGGGAGACCCACCGAATCCCACCGCACCCGGGATCAAGTCGGCCTCAGCGTTCGCCGTCTTGTCGGGTTGGAAAGCCGGATCAATGCAATAACTTCCCCTTTTGTGCCCAGAGTTTCCAGCAGGAACTTGGAGGCTGAGGGTATAGGTGTGTATCCATGATAGAGAATGAATGTCAGACACTTTCCCACCCACTTCCCATGCTGTGTTTGTGGGGCAGCCTTGGACCTCTCCGGTAGAAGCAAGGCTCAAAACCCCGCGTGTGCCTTGCTTGGGTTCCCTCTTTACGGACTGGAGTGCTCTTATGTGTGGGGGTCGATGGAGGAGATGAGGACCCTCCACCAGCCCCCTTCTTCCATACGCACAACGGATGCTGGACTTTTGGGCACTTTACAGGGTTCGCGCCGACTCGGTTCTCTTCCGTCCAGTCTGAGGGCATGGTCCTGATCCTCTCATACTGCCACGGGCGGCTCTCCTCTCCCTTTCCCCTTGCGCTTGCCTTTGCTCTGTGGCATTATGGCCGCCCATTGACCCTGCCATGGGGAAGTGTCTTCTGCGCAGTGGCTTTTGGCCTTTGGGAGCACTGGACAGTCCAGTTTTGCCCCAGCAGCCAGTAGTCCTTGCAGAGCAGGCCTCCCATTGACCCTGTCCTTTGCCTGGTAGAAAAGGGACACTTCCTTCCTTTCATTTGCAACACATTTCTTCCCTTTGTTGGCCTTCTCTCTTGTGGATGTCTTCTGCACGATGGCATTGCTCATCCCAGCAGAGAAGAGTCCATACAGAGTGAATCTCCCACTGTGGCACTGCTTTCTTCTCTGCCCACCATCCACCAACGCTGTGGCTAGTTGTATTTGAGTGCCCAGTGGCACTGGTGTTTTCCCAGTAGAGAGTAACCCTGCAGAGAGGATCTCCCGTGGTTGTCTTCTCTGCCCACTGACCCTGCCATGCTGTGGCATTGGTCACCTTGGCTCTGTCCCCGCAGAGACTACCCCCTGGACTTCCTTTCACTCCCCTCCCTGACCACTGTCCATTCTTGCCACGTCCGTCCATCTCCACCAGCCCTGGGGCTTCCTGCCATCCACGCCATGTCTGTGTGGCCCCCTTTTCCTTCCAGTGGCAGCTTTCTGGCCAGGAGAGCCCTCCGTGTGCTGTGTGGACCTGTGACGTATTTTCTGTCCATCCAGGAACTTTTTAAGAGTTTGCAGATTGTATCTACTTGACACACAAGGAATGATTAAAAGCATATTTTCCGAAATTGTGACTCTTTGTATGTATGTTCGCAAAGGGGTGAGGAAAGGGAACACCCCTTTGGATCAGTGGCCAGCCAGCAATATTTATTTATTTATGACATTTACATGCCGCCCTTCTCACCCCGAAGGCGATTCAGAACGGCTTACAAGATATATATCTATATAAATAAAAATGTAATGTTTGTTTGTGGGATTAACAGGACTCAAAAACCAGTGGGCGAATTGACACCAAATTTGGATGCAGGACACCTAACAGCCCAATGTATGTTCTTCACTCAAAAAAAATTGGTTTTGTCATTTGGGAGTTGTAGTTCTTGGGATTTATAGTTCACCTACAATCAAAGAGCATTCTCAACGCCACCAATGATGGAATTGAACCAAATATGGCACACAGGACTCCCATGACCCACAGAAAACACTAGAAGGGTTTGGTGGGCATTGATCTTGAGTTTGGGAGTTGTAGTTCACCTGCATCCAGAGGCCACTGTGGACTCAAACAATGATGGATCTCGACCAAACGAATACTCAATATGCCCGAATGTGAACACAGATGGAGTTTGGGGGAAATAGGCCTTGACATTTCGGGTTTATAGTTCACCTACAATCAAAGAGCATTCCGAACCCCACAAACGACAGAATTGGGCCAAACTTCCCACACAGAACCCCCATGACCAACAGAAAATACTTAAGACCATCCAGTCCAACTCCCTCCACCAGAGCAAGAAAATCTAATCAAAGCCCTCCTGGCAAAGAGCCACCCAGCCATAGATATAGATAGATAGATATGATTCACACACACACACACACATATAGTATCCTAGATTTGAAAGGGACACCTAAAGAAGGACAATTATATGTTGCATATTCTAGAGTTGGCAAACCAGACTCCACATCAACTCTGACAAAGAAACAAGAAATATTGTTTACTCACAAGCATAGAGAAATTACATATATTAGAAACCATTACTTTATTTTCCAGATCACCAGACTGGGTCACAGCAACGCGTAGCAGGGGATGGCTAGTATCTATATAAATAAAAATGTAATGTCGAAGGCTTTCATGGCCAGAATCACTGGGTTGTTGTAGGTTTTTTCGGGCTGTATGGTCATGTTCTAGAGCAGTGGTTCTCAACCTGGGGGTCGGGACCCCTGGAGGGGTTGCGAGGGGGTACAATGTTTTCTGTTGGTCATTCTCTGTTTCTGACCTAATTCTATCGTTGGTGGGCTTCAGAATGCTCTTTGGTTGTAGGTGAACTATAAATCCCAGCAATTACAACTCCCAAATGTCAAGGTCTATTTTCCTCGAACTTCACCAGTGTTCACATTTGGGCATATTGAATATTCGTGCCAAGTTTGATCCAGATCCATCATTGTTTGAATCCACAGTGCTCTCTGGGTGTAGTCAAACTACAACTCCCAAACTCAAGGTCAATGCCCACCAAACCCTTCCAGTATGTTCCGTTGGTCATGGGAGTTCTGTGTGCCAAGTTTGGTCCAATTCCATTGTTGGTAGAGTTCAAAATGCTTTTTGAATGTAGGTGAACTATAAATCCCAGCAACTACAACTCCCAAATGACAAAATCAATCCTCCCATAACACTCCAATAAGAATACACCCTGCATACCAGATATTTACATAACGATTCATAACAGTAGCAGAATTACAATTATGAAGTAGCAATGAAAATAATTTAATGGCTGGGGGTCACCACAACATGAGGAACTGTATTAAGGGGTCGTGGCATTAGGAACGTTGCGAACCACTGTTCTAGAGGCATTCTCTCCTGACGTTTCGCCTGCATTTATGGCAAGCATCCTCAGAGGTAGTGAGGTCTGTTAGAACTAGAAAAAAAGGGTTTATATATCTGTGGAATGATGTCCAGGGTGGGACAAAGGACTCTTGTCTGCTGGAGCGAGGTGGGAATGTTTCAAGTGACCACCTTGATTAGCATTTGATGGCCTGGCAGTGCCTGGGTCAATCTTTTGTTGAGAGGTGATTTGTGAATTGGTTCAGACTCTTATGAGATATTCATAGAGCAAAATATGCTATAGCAGCAAATGGGTTTATATATGTGTGGAATGACCAGGGTTGGACAAAGGACTCTTGTCTGCTGGAGCTAGGTGTGAATGTTTAAACTGACCACCTTGATTAGCATTTGATGGCCTGGCAGTGCCTGGGGCAATCTTTTGTTGAGAGGTGATTTGTGAATTGGTTGAGACTCTTATGAAATATTCATAGAGCAAAATATGCTATAGCAGCTTGTGATATATATATATATATATGTATATATATATACACACACACACACACACACACACACACACACACACACACACAGATATACATGTGTGTGTGTATATATATATGTATAGAGGTATGTTGTGTGCTGCTGCCTTCAGCCAGAAGAGCCGGGGCATGTTTAGCCTGACGAAGAGAAGGCTGAGAGGAGATACGATAGCCATGTATAAATATGTGAGAGGAAGCCACAGGGAGGAGGAGGGAGCAAGCTTGCTCCCAACCGAATGAGGTTGGACTGGATGGCCCAGGAGGTCTCTTCCAACTCTAGGATTCTATGATTCCATGAAGGTGTTTAAGAGTGGCTTGTAGGTCTTCTTCTGAATGAGCATTGATGATGTTGTCATCAGCATACTGGAGTTTTGTACTGGAAGCCCTCTCACAGGCATAGAGCAGGGTTGGGAGGACAATAGCTCTATAAACAAGCACTTTGGTCTGCCTACGGATGTCCCGGTCCTCAAACACTCTCTGCTTCATTCGGAAAAATGCTGCACTCGCAGAGCTCAGGCGGTGTTGTATTTCGGTGTCGATGTTGACTTTGGTGGTGAGGTGGCTACCGAAGTAGCGGAAATGGTCCACATTTTCTAATGTTACATCATTAAGCTGTATTTCTGACATTGGAGAGGGATTGGCCGGTGACTGCTGGAACAGCACTTTGGTTTTCTCGATGTTCAATGACAGGCCAAGCTTCTTGTAAGCTTCTGCGAAGGTGTTTTGAGTGGTTTGTAGATCTTCTTCTGTTTTAAAATAGTTTTTATTAGTTTTATAAATACAAAGATAAAATCATGAACCAAATAGACAGACAAACGAACCATCAAACAGACAAACAAATACATTTACAATAGTGACAGTCACTATAATAGACCTCCCCCTTCCTCTAATATGGTATTTAGAATTACTTTTTCATTAACATTTCTAGTATATTCTTTTTTCCATTTCTCCTTAATAGCTTTGGGATTTTCCCAGTTCTTTTCCCTTTTCATTTCTCTTCTATGCTCTTCGTATATGTGTCCATATCTCTTTATTTCTTCTCGCCGCCTTCTGTTCGCTTTTTCTCTTTACGCACTATTTCTTCTACTTTCTCTCATTAATTTGTTACTTATTAGATCTTTTATCTTTCTCAGTTCTTTTTATATACTTTATCATTCTCACTTATTTATTTATTTACCTTACTTATATACCGCTGTTCTCAGCCCGAAGGCGACTCACAGCGGTTCACAACAAATACGAACAGCAAAAATTCAGTGCTACAGTATAGAAACAGTTAACAACCTAACACATTACACAATTAATAAACAGTTACTACAATACCCATTCACTGTCGTCTCGTCATCAAAAACATGTTCCAGATTCGTCATCCATTGTTCCATTCCAGTGTTCATTAACCAATCATTGCACTAATTATTCGAACGCCTGCTCAAACAGCCAGGTCTTCACTTTTTTGCGGAATACCATTAGAGATGGTGCTAGTCTAATATCCGTAGGAAGGGCGTTCCACAGCCGAGGAGCCACCACCGAGAAGGCCCTATCTCTCGTCCCCGCCAGCCGAGCTTGAGAAGCAGGCGGGATCGAGAGCAGGGTCTCCCCGGAAGATCTCAAAGTCCTGGTGGGTTCATAGGCAGAGATGCGGTCGTATAGGTAGCTTATACTTTATATCTATCTGGGAACTGGGCATGTTTAGCCTGAAGAAGAGAAGGCTGAGAGGAGATATGATAGCCATGTATAAATATGTGAGAGGAAACCACAGGGAGGAGGAGGGAGCAAGCTTGTTTTCTGCTTCCTTGGAAGACTAGGACGCGGAACAATGGCTTCAAACTACAAGAGAGGAGATTCCATCTGAACATGAGGAAGAACTTCCTGACTGTGAGAGCCGTTCAGCAGTGGAACTCTCTGCCCCGGAGTGTGGTGGAGGCTCCTTCTTTGGAAGCTTTTAAACAGAGGCTGGATGGCCATCTGTCAGGGGTGATTTGAATGCAATTTCCCTGCTTCTTGGCAGAGGGGTTGGACTGGATGGCCCATGAGGTCTCTTCCAACTCTGTGATTCTATGATTCTATGGAGGCTTTTAAACAGAGGCTGGCTGGCCATCTGTCAGGGGTGCTTTGAATGCCATTTTCCGGATTCTATGAAGGTGTTTAGAGTGGCTTGTAGGTCTTCTGAATGAGCATAGACAACGTTGTCATCAGCATACTGGAGTCCTTAAACAGAGGCTGGATGGCCATCTGTCGGGTGCTTTGAATGCAATATTCCTGCTTCTTGGCAGAATGGGGTTGGACTGGATGGCCCAGGAGAGGTCTCTTCCAACTCTAGGATTTTATGATTCTATGGAGGCTTTTAAACAGAGGCTGGATGTCCGTCTGCCAGGGGTGCTTTGAATGCAATTTTCTGCTTCTTGGCAGAATGAGGTTGGACTGGATGGCTCATGAGGTCTCTTCCAACTCTAGGATTCTATTGAACATGAAGAAGAACTTCCTGACTGTGAGAAGTGTTCAGCAGTGGAACTCTCTGCCCCGGAGGGAGTGTGGTGGAGGCTCCTTCTTTGGAAGCTTTTAAGCAGAGGCTGGATGGCCATCTGTCAGGGGTGCTTTGAATGCAATATTCCTGCTTCTTGGCAGGGTTGGACTGGATGGCCCAGGAGGTCTCTTCCAACTCTAAGATTCTATAATTTCGGGGCAAGCCTCCCTCAGAGAGACATCTGTGTGCATCCAGAAG